GATTGACGATCACCTTCATCGAGGGTATCTCCCCCACTGAGGGTCTCACCGTCGCCGTAGGCATCACCACCTCCGATCGGTCACCCTTTTCCCCATCCACTAATCTATATGATCGTCTGAATGTATTTATAGCGGATCAGATGGGCGAGATGTGCCTAGAGCTAGCGGGTTAGATGTGTGAGATGCGTCGAGAGCTAAAGGGTCAGATGGGTTTTTGCCGTGGAGATTATTTTTGCTGACTCCACAATATATGTGTACGACTCCGACCATTCATGTCTGACACAGGGCCAGCTCGAGCAACAATTGGAGCCGCTTGCAGTGATCGTTCCGTTGATGGCTTCCCGAGCTGGTGTTATTGTTAATGACAGTCTAGCCATCGTGCAGGACCAGACGACGGTGAGACAGTCGAGATTGTAAGTATTTATATTTTGTTTTTAACTTAAAAACTTAGTTTTTATCAAACACATTTATTATTCAATTGTAGGGGCAATTGCGACATTTTTGCAATAAAATACATTGAATTTTTGAGTATTGGACATAAGGTTGATGGAATCAACCAAGTATGGATACAAATTTGGAGGAAAAATTAGCGTGCGATTTGTACGAATTCAAGTGTGATCTTTAAACGTTATAGATTTAATTGTTGATTCATTTATTTAATTCTTGTAAATATTGTAAAGTGAATTTTGTAATATTGTAAATTGAACTTTATTCATTTATTTATGTATGAAATAATTGTCGAAATTAAATATTAAAAAATTAATTATATAATTAAATGTTACGTAATTGAATAAAGTTTATATAATTAAAGAAATCATTTTTACTTGGAATTATCAAAATTAAATATTCAATTTTATCAAATCAACAAATTGCAACAATACCATCACATACTCGACTAACTGTCATCTAGGAGAATCTGACTCGTATAAGCTTCACGAGTATGGCTGACTACTCTACATCTGCCGCACCAACGCGGTAGAGGAAACTCTCCTGTAGAGGGTATTCTAGAAATTCGTTTTGGCGAGTATGGCCGACTGCTTTACATCGCCGCAACGACGCGGTCAAGGAAACTTTCCAGTAGAGGGTATTCTAGAAATTCGTGGACGTCCGGGCCATGCGATTCAATTACCGGTGGCGACAAACTATTAAGTGGGAGAATATCGTCAGGAACTTCCCAATCGGATTCATTCTGTAGGGAAAATATAGTCTCAGCATATGCAACTCTTCAATAATTAGCTGTGTAATAAAGACAGCATAATATTCTCGCTACAAAGCCTCTGTTCATAGCTATCGCAACTGCATGCTCGCATGGAAAACTCTCCAGTTGAAATCAAGTACAAGTGCATGTGTTGTTGTAAGGTCCACCATGTGTGCCACATGACGTGCACATTGTACGGAGAAGCGCGACTCGTCCAGCGGTTCCACAATCAACTTTATCTCAACCTCAACGGCCTTGAATAGTTTATCTTCTTGATCCGGTACTAGTCGCTCGAGCAGTTCTACGATTTCGCACTTCGTTTGTGAAACCACTGCTGCAACTTGGTATGGATGTTCTCAATCATTGCGAGAATTGGCAACTCTCGATCCTTCTAGAATAATGCATTCAGAGACTCTACGTTGTTCGACGTCATCAAGTTGTACCGATATCCTGGAAAATATGATCACGCCCAATGTTCTATCCCCATTTTTGTAAGATAATCTCATGCCGACAAGGACTTATTTCGTATCTCAACCATAAACTTATTACATTCCTTGACACTGTAAGATTTGGTTGCCCTCCTGAACAATGAAACAATATCTTGGCCCCGGTTCTAGTTTTCAGATTACCTTATATATAATACATGCAGTACCCATGATGTGCCTCAGGAAAAACTTTAGCGATAGCATTTATTAGAGACTGACCCCGATCAGTTACGAAGGCAAGATCTTCGACTTCCCCGATTACATCCCTAAGCTTCGTAAAGAACCAACGCATTGAATGACTATTCTCGCTGTTGACTATGCCAAATGCAAGTGGGTAAATCTTGATGTTGGGATCTTGACATGTAGCAATACTTAGCTGGTCCCTATATCTCGATTTCAGAGTTGTACCGTCGACTAAAATTACGGGCCGCATCACATTTTTAAATTCTTTAATGCATTGTCCAAGGGCCATGAACAAAAACTTAAAGCAATTCTCGCTCTACTTCTCAATGAAAAAAGTGGAATCGTGATTAGTTGTCCCCAAATTATGGCAGACCTAGCTAATTTAGCATAACTCTCATCGACCGAGCCCATTAAATCCTACAACACCCATTCTTTGACCTTCCAGACCTTCGGTAGCTCATGACCACTCCATACTTTAGCCGGACGTCATTAATGATATCTGAAGGTCTGTGATCATCTGTGAGTCCTAATACTTGTGCATTATTTGTCGACCANAGAATTAGATGAAAGTCCGTTCGTTCTGGCCCCTAAGCTCCCACTCAGCTCATATCTCTGACGGGATAAAGCAATTAAATCCTCATTTGTAAATTTATTTGTATTATCCCTGTTCTGAACTACCGATTGAATTATGTGCGTCGTAGTGATGTCACGATGAGGAACAATTGTCTCGTTAGCATCATCATCTCGAGCAATCTCCACTGTATCCCAAAAATCATTTGCATTATTATCAACTTCATCTGAATGTTCATTTCTACATTCCGCGTCGTCCTTCCTCATTAAAGTCACGAAAATCGATGTCGCTTGTGCTTTGTTCAACTCAAACAGATAATTCACTTTATTATCAGATGTAACATTTAAAAGTGGAATAGAATATGGCAAATTCTCTCTGAATTGATATCTCAAAACCATATTGTATCGAGATAAATCGACGTTCAACTTGTTCTGTATATCATGGTACATTTTCGAATACGATGTAGTAGTCTATGTTATATGTGTTGTCATACTAGAGGGTATGTTATTCGTCCATTTTCATACCCATCGATTATTTTTATCCAATTCAAAATCACCAAAATAACAAATTACGAGTATAATCCTCATATCTGTGCATGGCAAAATAGAATTTGTAAACATTCATTCAAAAATTCAGCTTACAGTAGGAACGGAAATTTATTAAAAACAAAACAGGCGGTTTAATAGCCGAGATAACAGTTGATTCTGGGCTGTTAACAGCAGAAACTCGGCTATTAACAGCCGAGATCTCGGGTGTGTTAACAATCGAATTCTCAGCTGTTAACAGCCGAAAAATTTCGTTGCTAACAGTCAATTGTCTGTTTGCTTCTTCGTAATAGAAGGTGAACTAATCGGAAAGTTGTGCAAACGAATTATTTTTTCATTCATACTTAAAAAAATTATATATCTGCTAAAAATATTTATATGCCAACAACTTATGTTAAATCTTAATTTATCGAGTAAAAACATATACACATTTGATGAAAACGAAATTAAACATACGTATTTACACTTACAGATTCGAAGTAATTGATAAAAAACAATCTTTTTCTTCAGTTATGGATATTTTTGAGATTTTCATAGTGAAGAAGTTGAGAGAGTTTTTATCTGTGTTTGAGCTGATTCTGTAATTTTATGTAGGGAGTGTTTGATATTTATTTGTTAACTAAAATGGTAATATTGTCTTTTTAACAAAATCATATTTTGTAATTGTTTTATTCACTTAATAGCATTTTTGTCTTTTGAATACCCTTAGGCTACTTTAAAATTATTGATTTGTGGAAAAATCAATGTGAAATTTCCCTCATTTGACTCGGCGATTTTTGAATGAACCCCCTCGGAGTATCAAACATTGGCCGGTAGATCTAGGGAAGTCCCAACAAATACATTCAAAGGAACCACTTCCACTTGCAATAATCTATTCAGATAAATCTTGGAAAATCTCATATTCTATTTGGAGGAAGGTACAGTAATAATATATGAAGAAAACGACATGCGTTAGGTGGATGAAGAAAATGATATACCATAGAACTAAACTCCTTCGTCACCCTACATGATCGATACTCACGAGTGCGTGAAACTCACATGGAACCCATATGAATAAAAAAAAAATTCAAAAAGTACTCCCTTAATAAGTGTACTGGCCTTCTACCTGACAACAACACAGCATGGTTCTATGCCAAATGGGGTAGGTGAATGTTGATAACTTCCTAAGCACGTGGACCGACCGTAGAGGAGTAGTGGTTGCAAGAGTCAACGACCACCATACAATATAGTGCTGTCATTAGGCCATCTTTGAGGCTCATTTTTAATTAAAAAAATGATTTTTTTAGAGAATATATAATTAAAAATATATGAAAAAATTTTAAATTTACATGCAAAATTATTTTATTGAAAAAATATATTATTAAAAAAAAAAATACTGAGCGTGTTCGGTCGCTCTTAAAATCCAATTAAAATTAAAAATATAGTATTTACTTGGTCTCACTCGTCTAATAAAAGTTAACGATAACGACTAATTTTTCAATTTGAATTCGATTTTAATCTCTACCGAACACGCCCACTATATAATATCAGTTGTGTTAGAGCATCAATCTATGATGACATTATATGATAGATTTAATTAAAAATAAAATTATATGATTCATTTAATGACAAGTAGTGCCACCTAAATTGATATTATAACACGAGTAGTACTAAATAACATTATTCTTGTGAAAAAAGAGTTGAATGAAGGTCAAACATGGGATAGATAGAGGTTCAATAATACATAAATTATTAATGAAAGATATGTTGTCTCGGTCTAATGAATCGGATTATAAAATCACACAAAAGTAGACTGATAATCATATTACAAAATAAGACTCCGTGCAAAACAGGAGTAATATCAATTCAAGAAAATCATGCGACTTGTCAATATCCCACGTAATGGAAAATGAAGTCTTGAGTATACTGGAAAATGACACAGAAAACAGGCCACAAAAACAAATATCCCCCTCAGTCTATCGTCTAGACGAGCAAATATTATTTATAACGACAACGAAGACAAATTTCATGAAACTGTATTACTCCAGCTTCAACGATTTTGCAATGTCAATAACAAAACGGTATTTAACATCAGATTTCCCAAGGCGATCCATTGCAGTGTTGATATAATCAATGGGGATGATCTCCACATCTGGTAATATGTTGTGTTTTGCTGCAAAATCAATCATCTCTTGGGTTTCTTTCATTCCTCCTATTCCACTGCCAGCTACTAACTTTCTACCTGCATTCCGTTGTGGATGTTTAGCAACAATGTCAAGGCCCAAGCCGGCCAGCAGGTTTGACCGGATAAACTATGAACTACTCCGAAATCCAGTTCGGTTATTATATATAAGATAAAAACAGGAAAATTGGAACCCATGAATTTAACTGAACAACAGGCCGGTTCACCCCCGTATTTTGCTTTTATTTTAGCACACCAGTTTAACCCTTTGAACATTGACCCTTTGCCTTTTGGAGGTCAATGCCCCGCCGGTTTTTTAAGCATGCATTATCAATTAAGCCATTATTTTTTATTTTAAAACTTATTTCTTAGAAGTTAACTTTTTAAGCTTATATAAACCATGCACTCAGAGTCCGAAGTCCGGAGGTCAATTGAATTGCTTACCTGAAAGCAAGGGAAATGCTGGCAACTCGAGCGGCTTTTCTGGAGCCCCAACCAGTACCATCTTTCCATGAGGCTTCAACAAACTAATCAAGGGTAAAATGGGGTGATGAGCAGATACAGTGTCAATGATCCCGTCCAATGTCCCAGTTGCAGCCTGAACAGAAACAAATATAAAGATTAATGCGGTTTCATTCTTAGTAGAACAACCGAAGCAAAATCCCGGTTCCTCACCTTCATCTCCTCCGGATCACGACTAACCAAAAAGGAGTCGGCACCAAGTTTTTCAGTAGCTTCCTTCTTCTTATTAATAGATGTACTGATGACTGTAACCTTAGTACCAAAAGCCTTGGCAAACTTCACAGCTACATGGCCAAGCCCGCCAAGTCCAACAACACCAATACTCATTCCTGGTTTGTCAAGTCCGAAGTACCTTAAGGGGCTGTAAGTCGTAATTCCGGCACATAAGAGAGGAGCACCAATGTCGAGGGGAAAGTTCTTAGGCCAAAGAACAACAAAGTGTTCATCAGCAACCATTAAATTAGAATAACCTCCATATGTAATGGTACCATCAATGTAAACCGCGCTATAGGTCAGTATCATTTTAGAACAGTAATTTTCAAGATCATTGGTGCATTGATCACACTGGCGACATGATCCAACCATACATCCGACTCCCACTTTGTCCCCAACCTTGAATTTCTCCACCTTGCTTCCAACCTCAGTTACTTCACCCACAATCTCATGCCTGCAATAAACAGCCCAGTTTAACAAATGCATCGGCTACTTTCCCTTTCGAAGGTATGCAATCTTTTTCTAACTTTAAGGTCATTCAAACAGACAAACAGAAACTACCACATATAGTTAGCATTTAACATATATGATTTAGCTGACTAGATCGAACATCCATGGAAGACAACTTAGAAACAAGCCATCATTAATGCAACTTGCAACTGGTTGTACCAAAAACCAAAGACAGTTCTCTTTATTTGATTCTCATCGAGATGGGACAAAGGGAACATGGAATCGGTAATGCTTGTTTTCAAACAATTATGTCACAAGGATCAAACAAATATTTATATATTCTCTGTTTTCAAATCCAAATTACAACAATAACTGATCCACATAATACTAACACAATAATTGTACACGAGATGCGTGCATATTGAACTAAAAAGCCCAAGCCATTAAGAGTATCATTTAGATCGAATACAATTCTGTTTTCTCTTTCAAAACCAAGACATGTCCTTAGTTTCATAAATAGATGGCCGCCACAGGTCAACCAGAAATAATAGAACCCTGCTATTCGTACCGGGGGGTGTACAACCCCCCGGTACAAGGAGGAAAACTCGAAATAATATCATTTGTAAAGAGAGAGAGAGAGAGAGAGAGAGAGAGAGAGGAGATGTTACCCAGGAACAAGGGGATACTGAGTGAGGCCCCATTCATTCTTGGCCATATGAAGATCCGAATGACAGACCCCACAATACAACACTTTGAACTGCACATCGTGCTCTCCAGTCGCCCTGCACATCAAATACAGTGTAAATAAGATCAAAACTAGCCAATTCAAAAGGGGTTCAGGTGAAAAAAAAAAAAAACTAGAAATGGAGATCTATACCTTCTGGAGAATTTGAAAGGAGAAAAAACCCCAGATGTGTCTTTGGTAGCCCATCCAATAGCCTTGAGAGGGTGCTCTGCTTCTGGAGATTTTGCCATTTTGACTTTGACGTTGAGAAAAGTGACACAGTAATACTATTGCAAGCTATGGCCTATGGGTTCTATTGGGCTTCAGTGCTATCTCCCTCTGTATATATAGCCACACTCTAGGAATACACGTAATCCTACACGCCATCAGTGCCTTAAAATTTTGACGCGTGTCTCTGACCTTTTTTAGCGGACTGGAACGTTACGTTGCCCGTTTAGAATAATCCAATCCGAGAAGTGAAATTGCATTTGACTCTACAACGGACTGTCTTTTTTAATTTTTCAAAATAGCAGCCCTGTTTTTGCACATTTTTTGGATGTATTTTTACTGTTGATGTGAAGAAAAATATGTGATTGAAAAATAAGAAAAAATTATTAATATAATTAAAAATATTATTTTATTAAAAAATGTGTTATTAAAAATTAATAAAATAATGAGAATGAAAAATTAATGTTGCTCAAATAGGGCACTAGACCCTTTGAACACACGCCCTATTTTTAATAAATTACAAACTTCAATTTTCCACTTCTTAAACTATTCAAAACACAATTAAACTTATTTATCACTGATATATAAAAAATTATATTAAATAAAATAAGAGAAGAAATTAATAAATATTTCATGAGAAAATTTTAAAAAGAGCCAAAATAGAGAGAACATTATTGAAGTGTATAAAATTTTTGACTCTCTAAATTTATTAGTATTCTCTATAATGGATAAAATATTCTTTATAAATAAAGAGTCCATTTTAGATGCTCTAAGCGTTTTATCCCATTTGTTCAAAAATTCATTTTCTTATAAATTTATTTTTAATCGTATATCCTCTTATTAAAATAATTCTGTACGTAAATTTAAATTGTTTTCTACTTTTTAGTTACACATTCTCAAAAAATCATTGTATAAAATCTATTCTTCCAAAAAATAGGGCCAAGACAAATCTTAAATTTCTATTGAAAACTAAGGGTCCATTTGATTGTAATGGTGAAAAATGGGTGAAAAGAAAACGAATTTTAGGGAAAATAATTACTTAGAACTTGTTTTACGGGGAATTGTTAATTAAATGTGTTTGATTTGTATAATATTCCACGCATAAATTTTTTGAAATTTTAGATATTTTTGTTCACGTTTGGCTCTATTTTACATGGAAATTGTTCATTAAAGTATTTTTTTTTACAATTGGTTATAAAATTTGTTATCATTGTCAAAAAGTAAAAAAAAAAAATTTGCTTGAAAACTAATTTTTCACCATTTTTCATCAAAATTTAGTGTTCGTTTGGCTTCGTTTTATATGAAAATTGCCCATTAAAGTGAATTTTTTTTACAATTGGTTATGAAATTTATTTTCATTGCCAAAAAAAAAAAAATGCCAAAAG